CGGAATTCCCAACTGCCGAGCCCAATTCCCAGTGCGCTCGCTAAGGCGCACGTAATTTCCTATGTATTTCCCGAATTGCAGAAAGGAAAAGCAGAACCCGGGAGTCGAAAAAGCTTCCGAAAGATGGGAGCCAAAAACGCGGTACCCAAAATCAAGAAAACGAAACGGGGTTTTTATGGGGTTGGTATGATACAAGCAAAAAGGGGTACGAAAGATAGCACGGTTCGGGAAGTGGTTCGTCACACTCATACTCAAGTTGGTAAACCTCGACTCCATAAAAATTCTCAACTTGTCCCACACAGACCTGTCCTCCTATCAACATGCAAGCTGGTCAACGCCCGGTGACTCCTGCCACCTTGACAAAACGGCGATGGATGGGAGGCAGAGAGATCGGGTGGGACCACTTAGTTGCCATATTCGATGTCACTGGTCGCTCGAGCGTACGCACCAAGTGACTGGGGAGAGTAACACGTTGCGCTTGCGCGCAAGGAAGGGGGGGAGGAAAAGGCAGGCAACGATCCCACACGCGCGCTGAGCGAGCGGGAGTATTGGCAGTTAGTCGGGGAAAGAGGGTATCAGCACAATCATACACTCATGCAGACGTCTAAGACCCAGATACCCCCCATGCGCGCAAACATAACAAGGACAATCACACAGTCCTCAACCATCCATACATTCATAAACTTTCTCGCAGTGAAGCATTCAACATCCATAGACACTTGCAACCAAGGCCATGCACACGACTGAGTACCGTGACTTACACTTAGTCTTCAGCACACAAAACACTCGGGCAAAGCAGCGATTGAGAAGAAGCGAGTCCCTCGCTATTCAAAAATCTTAACAATGCTGACACTCTGTGTGCGCAGCCACCATATCCAACCAAGCACAAGCCAGCATAGCCACAAGCCCTGCCACTGGCGGCACTCTCGTCTCCGCCACCGCGCAGTCCCTCCGACTACCTTACCCCGAGTCCAACGGTAAGTCCACCCCACGCCGTCACTCCGCCTGTTCCTTGGGCATGTCAAGCCTGTTGGGCGCAGCAGTCTTCGCGCATAGCTCATGCAGCATTGCAGCCAAGATCAAAGAAGAAGAGAGGAGAGGGCTACACAGATTTATAGGCAGAAGGCGGCAAGGCACCAGCATGTAATGCGGGCAGCGATGGGTGTAGATGAGGAGGACAGGAGAAGGAAGGTTCTGGAGAGTCAAGAAAGATGGGATGATCGAAAAATTTCACACAATTGAAGTGGTCGTTCAAGCCGCGCGCATAAGTTCACTCTTACAGCTCGATGCGACCAACTCAACTGACGACCAATCAACCACGCTGAAGGATGAAGTGGGAGGATGAGATTAAGAGAGGGACGAAGACGAAAAGGTGCACGTAGATGACAACTGAGCAAGAAAAGAAGTCGGTGCGTGTGTGCCAAGTGGGAAGCCAGCTTGCGTAGTGAGCAAGAAATCATGCCCACTTCCCACAGGGCCCGACAATGACAGATCTTACACCGGTGCCTTCCGACACCGGACTGGGTAACGGCAATAACCAACCTAGAGCAGAGAGGGGTTCTCTCCCTCATCTGTGCACATTG